TGAGACTATAAAGGTCTTATGTTTATTTGATTTTTTAATAACCTAAATTAATAGCTCGTCCTTTCAATAAGGGAAGGCTGTCAAGTGGGTTGCATCCTTGACGTAAGAAACAGCTTTAGAAACAATGGCAGATCTTGCTCTGCCATCGGCTCGACAGTTCGCACGGACTAATGGGAAAAAAAAAAAAAATAGAAAATATAAAAATTTCTACCCAGCTTCAAAAGGGGTAGATATAGCAAGATAAGGCTTAAGAAATGATCTCTTAAATTAAAATTTGTAATCATGTTGCAATTGTGAACTAACAATCTTGATATTTTGTGTAAAATTGGATATGATCATTCTGATTTCTAGTAGGTAACACATGAAATTACTCCAGAAGACACTAATGATGCTTCTGGAGAAGTGGTTGAGGATAACTCAGAACATTGTTAACAGGCTCCCTTTGCTGTTCTTGGAACTACACTCTATATTCAACTGTAAAAATGTAAAACCTCATTTAACATACATTCACTTATGAGCTTACACTTAATGACCAATCACTTGTATTTTTATCATTTGCATTTCAGATTATATAACTGATAAGTATAAACATTAAAGGGGTGGTTGATGTTACTTCATAACAATAATTGTGCATTTCCACAGCAACAATATTATAAGTTCTAATTATTTTTTTTTAACAGTGTTTATACTGTAAGTATCACTGTTTGCAATTCAAATAAATTTAACAGAAAAAAATGTAACAATACAAATATTGTTCATATTTATGAAAATACATTGAACAATTTATAAAGTTTCAATAAATTTATTTTCATGAAAAGAAAAATATAAATTATCTATACAAGTAGAATAGTTATTTCCCATTATTACTGATTATTAAAAGTATATAATTATTATGACTACAGAAACTTAATATATCCTTTATATTTTTAAGAGGTAAAATTTCTTTCTTAAGGCAATATAGAAGGATTACAATCATGTTCTATTAATGTATTCATAACTAAAATTAAATCTTTCCCAGAATTTTTTTAAATGAAATGGTAAATCAAATGTTTGAACAGTTTAACTTTTCCACAATTACTTAAATATTCTAAAATAGGTTGATTATTTTTTACTACCACAAAAACATGTTTATCATTACTGCTAGTCATATTTTTAATTCTATGAAATAAAATATTAAGTAATTTATTTAATAGATTAGCTGGTTGTTTAATTTTTTTTTTCATTGAGCTGTAAATAAATCTAAATTTTATAGGAGGTTTATCCAACTTAAGTATAGCAGACAGGCAAAGTAAGTCCAAAAAAGGATTTGATTTGGAATAAAGTTTTTTATAAGCTTTAGTGAAATTATTAATTTCTGTATCTTTAGATTGGTTAACCAATTTGAATGTTGTACAATACTGGTTTAATTAATCATAAGTTATGCATAAACATTTTTACAAATTAATTTGAATTTCAATTAGCTTTATCTATGGGAATAATTAGATATTTTTCTTGTAATTGTTGGATATTATTTTCTAACTGATAGATACTCATCTCTCCACACAGTTTAGTTATCTTCCTCATGTGTCTACCCAAGATGTTTGCATGCACTAGCTTTGAGGCAATTCACACTTAATTTCACATGACCATAACTAGTATGCTAACCCCGACTCTACTGACAAACCCTACAGGAACACACTCAGCTGCTGGAGGAGGGCACCTTAGTTATGTAGTATGGCTTCATATAGTGTATTCTCACCTCGACTCTACTGAACACTCTCTACAGGAATACACTCCAGCTGCTGGAGGAGGGCACCTTAGTGATGTAGTATGGTTTCATATAGTGTATTCTCACCTCGACTCTACTGAACAGTCTCTACAGGAACACACTCCAGCTGCTGGAGGAGAGCACTTTAGTTATGTAGTATGGTTTCATATAGTGTATTCTCACCTCGACTATACTGAACAGTCTCTACAGGAACACACTCCAGCTGCTGGAGGAGGGCACCTTAGTTATGCAGTGTGGTTTTGTTTATTGTGTGCACAACTCAACTGAACAAACTCAGGCTGCAGGAGAAGGGCACAAGTGGTATGAGTTATATTCTAGAGGGGTGACCCACACTGTACTGACAGTGTCACCACTGCCCCACTTCTTACCATACTGTGCTGAGTCCAACTGGTGAGGAATCTCTATAGTCCACCACCCCTGTGGCTAGAAACTCTTAAATGACAAGCATCTCCCATATTCCACTGTATGAAGGGAGGAAATTTGCATTGGGGAGACCTGGAGAAGTGTCCTGATCCTCATAGACCTTCATTTAGAAAGTATTTTACTGGAGACAGTGCAATGAATGACCATGAAACCCTATTTTTAAAAGCCTTTTTCCATAATGGTTCATGGAACAGATATGGCCTGGATAAGACAATTAAATAAATATGTCCACCACAATAATACCTCAAGTAATCTTGAAGAACACTATCTTACAGCAGGCACTAGTAGAGCCAGGGTAGATAGTATGAGTACTTTCTGTTATCGTGGCTTGATGCCGATTTTGGGTAAGTATGCCTTGGGAGACAACACTAGCTACCTAGTATGATTCTATAAACTTAAAAGGGGCTCTGAGAGAGAAATAGTACATATTATTCTCAAAGATGATTGGGTGATTGAAGAATGGCAACCTGTGGAAGCCAGAAAACATCAGGAGATAAAACAGCTAGAAGGTGTAAAGAAGGAGATATGTGCAGAGAGTCACCCAAATTCCTGCCTGAAGAACTTTTCCTAGGGCTGGCAAAGAAAATGCAAAAGAATGAAAAAGGTGATGGATCAAATGCAAAGATATGTTGGATACTCTGTGAGCATCCACATCCCGAGACAAACATACCAACTGGAGGAGTCAACAGACACATCCAGTAAAAGTAGAAGAAAAGAGATTCTTGGAAAGAGAAGAGTCCCAAGATAGGAACAAATTAAGACAGTGATCCATGATAAGGAACACTAAACAGCCCAAACAGGACAAGGGAGCTGATCAGAATCTGAACAGTTAAAAATACAAGAGACAAAAGAAAGGGAGATAGGAGAGAAGAATGGTTACCCTCCCAAGTGGTCATTTTCTTAGGAAGGAAACATCAGTCTGTGGAGAGTATACAACTATGGAGGAAGAGAGTGGGAGAAGCATCTGAAAGATGGTTACTGCAAGCAAGAAAAAAGGGGAAACTCATATGGGGAAAACATAAGATCATGCAAAATCCAATTAAGGTCTCAGTCAGACATGGGATTTGGTCGAGAAGGACAAAGGAGAACAAAGTGGAGAGGACAAAGGAAGAAACATCTTGTGATACCAGAAAAAGCTAAATGCCAGGGACAAGGCCATCCAACAGCCAGTAAAAGCAGAGGCCAACAAATTAGGCAGAAAGGTGTTTCAAGTATGATAGCCATGTGGAAAATAGTGGCAGAAATACCAATAACAAAAGACGTGCCACAGTAATTTCAAGACAAACACAGTCACAAAACAGGAAAATTGCACATGGAGGAGTGTCGCCCTCTTAATGGTAGAGGACTTTTGCCACATGATGGTGTCATCACGCACCACCACAATCCACATTAAATCATGTCAAATTAGGTGGAAGCTGCCTCAAGGCAAGTAGCATGCAAATCTCTCAGGCAGACACATGAGAAAAAGAGTTAAACTGTGTGAGGAAGTGAGTTCTAGTTTAGGAAAAAATCATTATATCCGTTTAATATTTTTTTAAATTAACTTGAAAAAGTTTATATTTTACTATATTAAATACATAAAACTTCCATCTAAAAATTCTAGGTGGATAAAATGTAATATAATTAAGTTTCAAAATGTACTCATTAATATTGTTTTCAACCGAATTTAGAATATCTTGTTTTATCTTTTACAATTTCTAACTAACCAGTAATGATATATGCATGAAAATTATCATTTTATATTCACAGGGTCAAGTATTTACTTGATCTACAACAAAGTTAAAGAAACTTTTATAATTATATTTTAACTAATAGTAGGTTTCAAGGATTTACAAGTAAAAATGTCCTTTTTTATAGATTGACTAACAATAATAGAAATTTGTAAATATTTTATATTTAAAGATTAAGACTAATAGATAGTGTATCCCCACAGCTATCTGGGTTATACTTCCACATTCACTTTCAAAAACCAGGACACATCTTGTACCCCACATTATAGATTGTGCCCTGGTAACTTCCTGTTATGCATCATTTTTCTTTAAGGCTTGTTTTGTATTATAACTATATCTATACATATATATATATATATATA